TAAACAGCAAAAGTATAAAATTTAAATATTTAGTTATAACTCAGTAACAAAGAGCTTTAGAGCTATAAAACTAGGCCATTTATAAGTAAAATTAAGTGTAGAACAACTTTACTTAGACAGCCAAAAGAGGTTTACTTAATAAAATTTTAGAAAATAGCAATTGTTTTTAAGAGAAGTTTGGTACAAGTGATCGTTGGGAAGAGTTAGTGATTTGCAAAATATTTAAATATAAGATTTATATTGTTAAATAATTATTTAATTATATATAAATTAAATAATTATCTAACAATACAAATTTTTATTAATTTTGGGATCCTGTTATTAGAATTTAGTGATTTTGGGCTTGTTAGAATTGTCTCACTAAAATGAACATTTTGGTAGTTAAATCATTCAAAATGGGCTAATGGATCAAAAGTTATTAAATTTTAAATAATTTATTTAGTAATTTTAAAAAATTACTATTAAAATTATACAAAATTTGAATTATCTTAGGATTCTGTGATTGGATTTTAATGATTTTAGACTTGTTAGAATCATCTTATTGAGTTAAGCATTTTAGTAGTTAAATCATCTTAATTGGCCCAGTAGATCTAAAGTTTATCAATTTTAAAAATTAGAATATATAAAAAATTTTAAAAAATACTATATAAAATTTGATTGGCTAATAAAGTATTATGTATAGGTGGGTGGGGTAAAATTTTAAATTTATTAGTAACCAAAAATTACATAATTTCTGGAAGCCCCCTAACCGTTAATAGTAACTGTTATAATAATGGTAGCCGTTAATCGTAACCGTTATAATAACGGTAACCGTTAATAGTAACCGTTATAATAACGGTAATCATTAATAGTAAAGTTTTTAATAATAACCGTTATCATGTGATAATAGTAACCGTTAACAGTAACTGTTATCATATGATAATGGTAACTGTTATTATATGTATCAATCCGGATATTTATTAAATAATTGGATAATCTATTTATTAATCTATTTTATCCGTTTATCTATTAAAATTAGATATCCAATAAATAAATAGATAAATGGTTGATGGATTGAAACTCTAAACATCCAGATTAAGCAACCATGTACGGACTGTATGACAATACAAATAGTATATGTGCCTTGACCGAAAAAACTATTTGATAATACTTCGAGACTTTATATTTTAGGCTACTCTGTTTTATTTAACTATCTTTTTTTTTATGTTTTTTTTTATTATATATATATTATTAGGATAAAATTAGATACAGAGCTTCTTTACCTATTAATATGTAATTTTTAAGGCCTGACACAGGCCTATAACTGTGACCTATCAGATTCTCTTTTCTTTTTCTTCCCTTTTTCGTCTTTGTATTTGTTTTTTAGTTTTAATTTCTATTTTTTTTTAGAATTTCCTCTTTAGTATTAGTGTTAGTATTAGTAAATTTTTTTTTCTTTTCACTTTCCTATGAGAAGATATCATCAGATTGGCGATATCCTATTGTAGGGCAGTGGTCTGATAGTATTCATCTGAGAAAGATAGTGTTTCTATTTTGAAATTTATCACGATATATTCATAAAGATGTATCTGCTCAGTGTAGCCGATCGCTTGTAAGTGCTCTCAAAGTAACTGCGGGATGCTACTCCTAAATATTATGCTAAAGCCTTTTGTAATACCATACAATCATAAAGTAATAAAAGAGACTAAAAGCAAGATGGCCTAAGTGGAAAAAAAAATTAAATATACTTGACTAAAGTATTTATAAAATAATTAAATATTTTTTAGATTAATTTAGCAATCTTGTCTTCTTTATTTAGATATTCAAATACTTAACAAATTACAAAGAATTTATCTTTATAGCTTTTATTAAATACCAACTTTAAAAAGACTACTTAGTCAAAATTTTAAAAGATTGGTAATTTTATAATAAGAGTATAAAATGTATAAAATACTAACTAGTTTGTTTTAAGAATATATACAGTATAAATTATTAAATCAAATATATTTATAATCTCTAAATTAAACTTAAATTTAAACCAATATTAAGTTTAATTTAAATTTATAAAGTTTAGTTTAAAACTTTGCAAATTTAAAGTTTAAATCAAATTCAATAAACTTGAATTTAAATCTAAACTAAATCTAAAAACACTAACTAGTTATATTCAAATTTTAAGAAAATTATTAATTTTTATTACAGTTACTTCTTGATATAGTTATATTACTGATATAAAAATTTTAGATTAAAATTATTACTGATAAAAGAAATAAATAATTTTAATAAATAATCTTTAAAAATTTTGCAATATTAAAAAAATTAAATTTTGTTTAACAATTATAAATATCTTCATACTAATAGTCTGACTATATCGAGAGATGTTTGTATTAAATTTTCTGTTTTTTTTATACTATTTTTTATAGAAAATTTCTATTTGTATCTCTATTTTTGCACTCAATACTTTATCTTCGTAAAACAAATTATTTAACATAATATAATTGTGATACAAAACAATATACTGTATGATCTGCGTATTAATAATATTATAACAAAACATAAAATTGGCTTTTTTATTGCAATAGCAATTAGTTATTTATAAAGAAGGTATAAAAAGTAAAAATCGTGTATAAATTATCAGCCTAAACTAGTAGACTTTATTTTTTTTTAGCAACTACTAGAAAGAGGAGTATAAATAGCAAAAGTAAGAAGTACAAATTATATTGCCCTTTTTATATTCTCTAATTATAGTTTAAGTTATAATATAGAAAATTACATTTTTGTATAATTTATATAACTAATAATAAATAACAAAAATAATACAAAAACTGTCAATCAATTAACAATATTATTTAAATTTTATAACAAGTAATTTAATTCAAAAAAATAGAAAACCTAATTTATATTTCATGATATTATCCTAGTTTCAAGAGAAAATTTGATCATAAGGTGGTGGAGAATCATTTCTATTGAAACTATTGTAAGAAGATTGTCCTTGTTGTTCATAATGATTATTATTATTGGAATTATTGTAAGAATATTGTCCTCGTTGTCCATATTGGTTATTATGTGCGAAAGGACTATTATATTTTGGTTGTCTTTGTCTCTCCCTTTGTAAGAGGGACTCATAAGATTGTCTATCTTGTTGCCCGATTGATCTAGAAACTTGACTGAACAAGCAACCACAACAGAATATTATAGGGATAAAGTAGAGCCAAGGCGACCATGACGTTCTTTTGTAAATTGTAACTTGGTACACCGTATCTCTAAGGCTTAGTTCGAACCTAACATTATACTTATCCATATAAGATTCATCAAGGAAACTAAAGTAATAACTAGGTGAACCTAGCGCATAAACTTCCCAAGAGATTGCGAATTTGCTTGACATACCATCATCAATTATATAACTAACATAACCTATCACTCCACCAAGAACCTGATTTGTAACACTAGAAATAGCTTCCGATTCATAAGGTAAAAGTGAGCGTGGTTTGCAGTTTAAGTCGAAAACATCATCGCCGTAATCATCTGAAGTGACCCAACGACCATCTTCAAGATTTACAACATCTAATGTCATATTATAGCCACTATTATTGATGAGAATAATTGATGCACACCGAGAATAATGTTTATAAGCGATTTTATTCGCTAAGTGAGGACAACAACTCAAGCTTGTTCCGTTTCGACAAAAGAAACTAATATCCTGTTCTTCAAATATATCATCATCGATTGTCTCATACGGTGCGGAATAGATAAAAGTTGTCAAGAAAACTAGAATAATAGCCAAAATTATGAACCGTTTATGAGACATTAGGTACATTAGTAGTACCCTTCAGGAAAGACTTTTAAATTTATTTATTTATCCGAAGTGCTTGGGTGTACAATTTGTACGTATGAGCTTGTTGATCGGATCACAATTCATGTGATTTGATATTAGGGTGTACCCCGTGTATGATTTGGGGTTCTTTAAATCAAGTCCCATCCTGATGGATAATGGTTTGATGGGATAAAGATATTATTTGAATGCTGTTAAGAGAAAACCTGTAAGTACAAATTTAAATTCTTGCCGTACCGGACTTCTGATATGACTGGTACACCAATACTTTGCAAGTTGTTCAACATTTGATCGTAATCTACTTTACGTAATACATATTACAAGATGAGTAAATGATTTCCTAGACCATAACCCAAATGTGTGCGTACTTACCGGTTTAAAAAAAAGAGCTTCAGAAATACTAGCACCACGACATATTAAGAAGTAATATTTTGCTAAAAACAAATCAGATTATCACTTTTGAAAAAAAAATTTAAATAAACTATATATTTAGTTTCTTACGTATAATTAACTGCGTCATTTTCCCCACATATTATAATATGTTTATGTTTTAAACGAACCAGAAAAAAAAATTATTGTTCAAATTTTCGACTCTAACCTTACTAATGACTTGAACCCATTAGACAATAACAAGATAACCAGTGATAACTTGTTAGTTAATTAATTAACTATTTTCTCAAAGGCCGACGCATTTCATATTCGATAAGACGGGACTAATAAAATTGAATTTTATATAAGATCAAGAAACTGGGACTGATCTTATCGTAGTTGATTTCTGAAATTGGCTAATGCTGGACCTATTTTAATATGAAATTTGGCTTTTTTTTATGGTTTAGCTAGTATTTAGGGATAAAGTTTATAATCAAGGAA